TCCTTCCATCCATCCATCCATCCATCCATCCATCCATCCATCCTTCCATCCTTTCATCCATCCATCCATCCATCCATCCTTCCATCCATCCATCCATCCATCCATCCGTCCTTCCATCCATCCATCCATCCATCCATCCGTCCTTCCATCCGTCCGTCCTTCCATCCGTCCGTCCTTCCATTCATTTTTTATTAAAGTAAATTGAACTGTCTCTGACATTTTGATCGCTGTTATTTTGACAAATTAGCGCCGTTGTTTTGAAACGTGACATATAATGTGAATAACACAAACATTTCTCTCTTTGTATTTTTAATTTATTTTTTACAGTAAGCTTTTTTTATTTATTATGTCTGAAATGTAGCAGGAGTTCAGACACCTGCTGATGTTGTGTGCGCGCTGCGTAGAGCTGTCTGGAGAAGTTTCTGTGCATAACGTGCACTTCCGCAGGGAATTTACTTATTCTGTTTTGAATAAATGATTGTTTCTGTTTCGGGGGTCTGAGAGGAGGAGAAGGGTGTTTTTCAGTGTGCAGCCCCACTGAGGAGGGATAATATGTGGAGAGGAGGAGAGAAGGACTCCGCGCAGAACCTCTGTGCGTAAATGTGATCATCTGTCCCTCTGCCCTCACCCAAAGAGGCTCCTCTCCTGATCCTGGAAGGAGCGTGTAGCTGGTGCGCCCCACGTGCTGCGGCTGGAACATCCACTTCACAGACTGGGTCCGCCGGGATAAAGGCAACGTCTCCTCTTTTTGTATTTTTAATAAATAATCTAAATAAAAATGCGCGATGACTTTGGACTTTTGGGGGCAGAGTTGCTGGGTCCGAACAAAGAGTTGCCGGAATACAACGGGTCAAAATGAGAGAGTTCCTGGATCTTGTTCCAGCAGGATCCGGCTCAAATTAACCACTGCCGAGGACGTGTGTGATGAAGTTTTTCTATAGCCGTTTAATTCTGACTCTGAAGAAGACGACTTTAGTGGTTTTAGTGCACAGGAGTCAGAGTCAGAGATTCTTTATTGTCATTCGCACCTCATGTGGTACATGTGGTGGAGTGAGATTATGTACACAGGGTCCCAGGTGCATTCAACAATAAAATGTAAAAGAAAAACAGTAATAACATCTAAGATATGAACTAAGAAAAACATTAACTAAATATACACTAAGCACTAATAGCATAAAAACATCACGTCGAACATCAGCACAAACATGAACATGAGTCCGTGTGAGCAGATGAGCATGCATGAACACATCAACATGAAACTGATCAGCAGCGAGATGAAACAGATCAGCAGCAACATGTGATTTTTCACAGTGATTATTCTGGTTAGAGATTCATGAGTCTAACAGCCTCAGGGTAGAAGCTGTTCCTCAGTCTAGTGGTTCTACACTTAATGCTCCTCAACCTCCTTCATGAGGGGAGCGGGGCAAAAAGTGTGTGTGCTGGGTGAGTGAGGTCCTTCATGATGCAGGTGGCCCTCTTCCTGCATCTGGAGGTGTAAATATCTGTGATGGCGGGGAGACTGACTCCAACATCTTCTGTGCAGCCTTCTGATAAGGAAGATGAAGATAGAGATCAATGATTTCCTGGTAGACTACAGTATTTTTTTTAACTAGCCATGTTACAGGCACTGTTAGAAAACAAATAAAACTGTACGTATTTGTGTAAGTTACCAGAACGCATTTAATTAAAAGTTTAAAAAAATATTTCTTATTTCTGTGTAAATATCTCATGTTGCAACATGGACACCTGTGGCTTATAAAAAAGTGTGGTGTATATATGTACAATTTATTATTATTTTAATTATTTATTTAGTGGGCATGGTTTATATTTGGGTGCGCTCAATAGTCCTGAAAATTCTGTAATTTTTTTTCTTCTTTCGGCTGCTCTCTTCATCAGGGGTCAAGCGAACTAAGCTGCACAAAGAATTGGCAATCAAGAATTGGCAATCATTTTTACGCCGGATGTCCATCCTGACGCAACCACAGACCATCGAGCTACCACAGCCCTCTGTGTGGAGCAGAGAGCTGCTATCTAGGACACCCGGGGGAGCAGATGGTGGGGGTTAAGGACCTTGCTCAAAGGCCCAGAGTGGGGCAAATTAGGGTGGAGGCAGGTGTGGGTGCTCCACCTATCCCACCCACATTTTGATGTTGTTGGTATCGGGAGTTGAACCGGAGATCTTCCAATCACAGGTCCACCTTCTCTAATAAAGGTTGAATGAATGAAAAAAATCTCTGCACCACCACTCCCGGAAATTACAGTAAACAGTTACTTGAATAAAAACTAGGGATGCACCGATAAATCTGCCGGTGTACAGTCAGTACACCAGTGGGTACTTTATGTCTCGTTGCTTTAGAACACATTTACACGTTTGAATAATTGAGTTAAAGACCAAGCAAACTTAATAAACGCATATGTTGTGTTTGTTTTTGTTCCAAACCTGACACTGTGCAATGCATTATGGGTAAGTATCTCTATCTCAGTTTTATATTGACCTGTCATGAACTCTAACCTTTAACCTTGAGGCCTGTAGAGTCAGATGGAACTCTTGGAGGTTACTTACTTTTTCTGGGCATTGGCAGACAAGATTACTGGTAGAAGTCTTGAATGTTTTCCACTTGTAAATCTTTCTCTCTGTAGAATGATGAACTTCAAACAGTTTGGACATGACCTTTAACCTTCCCAGGTTGATGGAAAGCAACAGCTGCTTCTCTAAAATCACCCCTGATGTCTTTCCTTCTTTGCATTTTGTTAACATACACTTGTGTGAGAGGGGCTCACACTGATGGCGATCAGATAATTATTGTTAATCTTTACTTAACCAGGCAAATCCCACTGAGATCACAGATCTCTTTTGCAAAGGAGGCCTGGGCCTGAAGGCAGCCTAACATGCATGTACCAGGAGAAAACCCACGCAAGCACGAGAAGAACATGCAAACTCCACAAAGAAAGACCCCAGGTCCAACCGGGGAATGGACCCAGGACCTTCTTGCTGTGAGGCAACAATGCTAACCACTGAGCTGTTGTGCTAATTAATCAGGGTTCACAGCATTTCATAACAAAATACCCTGAGTAAATCCTGAGGAATCAGATGTTTCAATCACAAGCAACGCTCAGAACTTAGCATCTTAGGTGGCGGGCAGTCACACTGAGAGATGACAGTAAATGTAGCATAGCCTACGATACACAGATAAGACAGTCACTCCTAATAATTAATTATAAAGTGTTAAGATATTTCCTATTTAGACTGGTCCTATGGATTTGAACTTATGACACTTTTCAATCCAAATTGATATTAAATTAAAGGGTGGCATGGGTAAATTGGTTTATTGGTTAATTAGGAATGTTTTTATATTAGATCACCAGGGGGAGTTGGGAGGTTCTGTTATTTACATACATATGCACGTTAAAACACGTTAAAATGTTTAATTAGATTGTATTCACACAAATACATTTTTCAGCTGTGACAGGCTAAAAATACCGGCAGCGCTCTGTGCAAATAAAAAGGGACGGCACGATTGAAAAAGGGAAGGGGGCACAGAGTTTTCTTTTTTCTTGTTTTCTTTTTCAGACGGACACGATGGACCAGGCCTGCCCTTGGAGTCAAAAAGAAATTCAGAGTCTACAGAACTGATTAACATTTTTAGATAAGAACGCTTTTCTTGCATTAGGACGCCTCCTGCAATTATTAAATCATATTTAGAGAACTGACTTAGACCAATGTTAGAAATTTCCATTATGTTATTGCACCACACCTGGGAGAGGCTGAATTCCTAGGCAGATGTCCAGATGCTGGGTCAGGCGGCCTGAGGCTGGCAGGTCATCACGTTAGCCGTCAGCTCTGACATCTTATTTTGACCTGAGGCTGCCAGGTCACACCCGCTATAGCCTGTAGGCATCTCCCGCCAACATATAAGGAGCAGTTCACATTCAACCAGAGGAAAGTGATTAATTGCTTGCTTATCTGGCGGTATTGAACTGGGAGTTTTTATGCGAGAGAACCCCTTTGGAGACTCTCGCCCAGGGGGGAGTTGTTAAGATATTTCTTATTTAGACTGGTCCTATGGATTTGATCTGCTCAGAGACGGGATTATAATGAAATTATGACCCGGTTCTGACTGGGTTAAACTGGGCCAGCAAACTCTTGAGAGAGTCTCCCTGATAATTTAATTTAATCTGTAAAGAAATAGTTTAATCAGCTTGCCACATCACTTAGGAAGGCTTTAAAGCACTGTCTCATGTTTTCCTTACACGTCAGTACACATAAGACCACACTTAGTCCCGCCCCCTCATACACTGACAGGTTGAGCTCCCTCTTCTGCGAAGGGCGGAGCCTAGGGCCCTATAAATGAATGATGACACGAGACATCGGGGCTCTCTTCTTCCGGGTCTGTGATCGCGTCACAGACTGAATAGAGTCCAGCGCTGTAAATTGTAATCTTTTACTGCCTTTTTCTAATATAATTGATAAAACTTAATTGACGTTTCCTTGATTTATTGATTAGTATAGTTGCCACTTCTGAGGAGGGTTCAAGCCGGGGGTAAAGACGTGAGCTGGGGGGGTTTCCGGATCCGGTGGCCCGCAGCGGCTCCCGTCTTTAACAAGAGTATGACTGATATATCGGTAGGACTGATATTTTACGTTGATATGGACATTTGGGGTCCTATCGGTATCTGTGATAATGGTCCCATTATGCGCAGATATAAACACTTCTAACTTTCACACAGCAATGAAGGCTACCTATGGGACAAATCTGTAAGTTCTCTGGATGGGGAACAAAACGTTTCTCACTTAAAGAAACTTGACATGATTTAACATTTTTTGTTGTAATCTACCTGGATGACTGAGCTTACAAACCTTTTTTTTTAAATAAAGCTAACATTTAGATAGCCTAGCATAGGTTACTGCCTTGGAAAACTTTATCCAGAACAATAAATCTAACAGAGGTAAAATATATCAGTGTTAGTAATGTTATCTTTGTTATCCTCATTGAAATGCATTGTCTGAAATCTTTACTTCTCTGCAAAGAAAATAAATTCTGCTGCGATCAACACTAATTAGACCTTCACCGTACGTGACGGACTGTTTAATCAATGAACAGGGAAGAGCGTTTCTTTGTTTCATAAATATTTTTGTAACACACTTGATAACTTTATCCTATAGTGGAGGATAGAAAATGTGAACGCACGAAGACTTGGAGTGTTAAACAGGTTTAAAAGTAGCTGTTTACTTACATTCTTGGGGGTAGACAAAGTTTAAAAATATGCTGCCAAATTAATATATCGATTACTGGCATTAGCTGACCCTCCCAATATCGGTATTGGCGATAGACAAAATTTCCATATCGGCCAGACTCTAATTAATTATACTGTATAACATCAGAAACTAAAAAGCCGCCATAGCCAATCAGTAAGTATACATGTACTATGTACACTGTAGAAGCAGAAGATGGACATTAATACATGTATATATCAAACTCTCCAAGATCTTCCTTTAACCTTTAATCATTCCTTGACTGAAAAATATTAAACATTTTCCAGGTTTTCCCTGATTTCTCGAGTCACTGGGAATCCTGTCAATACGTGTAATCAGCAGCATCTGGCTGCTGCTGAACCTCTTTAATCCTTTGGAAGCAGCGAGTGTGGACTTGGTTTATCTGCACAGCTTTTTCAGTTTGTCTTTGATTTAGTTCAATAAATAACGGCATGGTGGAATCTGTTGTTTTTCTACACTTGAGGTTAGATTTGAATAATCTTATAACTCGATAATCTTTTTTTGTTGTGGTTATAGGTAAAACCCTAGAAGTGAAAGTGGGTGGACTTTCTTGTTTGCTGTGACTGTACATGTCAAAAAGAAATAAATATGTCTAAACGTGATGGTATATAGAGAAAATGTTGTAATATAGGAAAAGCCAAACCTTGGAAAACAAAAATATGTTGTTTATATGGTCTAAAACTACACCACCTTATAAATCCATAAGAATATTCAATATTAAGCATTTTCCAGGTTTTCCCTGATTTCTCAAGTCACTGGGAATATTTATAAGAATATTTCTGCCTTTAAAAGTCCTCCGGGTGTAAAATAAGCTCCTGAATATTGACTTGTTATTCTACACAGTGCAGCACATTGTAAAGGAACTGAGTGATGAGTTTTATCCCAACACCCTGCAGAGTTTCTTTTCTCTTGTGGGAACTAGCAAACACAAGCTGACTGCGCTCAACCCACAAATTAGTGAGTTCAGTCGGGGTTCTGTGTGCCTGCAGGCTCCACCGGGCTGCTCTGAAGGGGAAAATCTACCGTGCACGTGGTAGCAGGGAAACATGAGAGACGGCTGTTTTATTACGGGGCCAGAGTCAGGATAATAAGCTTAGTTCATTTACCCTCCTCTTCACCAGCAGCCCCTTCTCTCCAGCCCTCCCTAGACCATTTTAAGCCAATTACCCAGCCAGCGACTACGCTGGGATGAGGCAGCTGACAGCAAGTCATCTCCATGGCAACGCTGCCCTGCATCTCCCTCTCCCAATCGCACATTTATTTGTCCGAGTCATTGTTCTCATCGCTGTCGTTTTTAGCTGTGACCTTCACAGCACACATGGAAGGACCAGAAGAGGACTAAGCACACACCAATGAACGCGCACTCACTCACTTCATGTGTGTGCACGTCGTCTGCACGAGCGTTTCCTGTGGCATTCCCGTGCTCACGGATATACGAGCTGATGCACACACAGACTCGGGATGAATAATGTTTTTGCACATTGTACAAACAATCCTGCTGGATGTTCTTGGCAGTTTGTATCTGCGGCTCAGCTCACTGAGTTTTCTCTGGCACAACTCAAGCCTGTGTGTGTGCATGTGTGTGCGCATGTGTGTGTGTCAGACGTGGCTGAGCAAAGGCACATCGGCAGCTGCAGCTCTGTATTTTGCAGTCCTGTCGACACCGGTTACGCAATGGGCATCTGTGTGTGAGTCACTGTGCACTGAGTGGATGAAAAGGTTTGAAGATGGGTCAAGGGCTAAGTGTCTGGGCCTCAGCCTGACCCCCCCTCCCCCCCTCCGAGTTTTTACAGCTAGAGTAAACAGCTTGTTATTATGTGCACACGCTGTATGTGTGTGAGTGCAGGAGACAGATGAAGCACTTAGCAGGAAAGCTGCAGCCAAGTGTCCACAGCACAGTTCATGAACGCCACACAGACAAATACAGCCTGCGAGAAACTTACCTGACAGGAAGGCTACTTTCTCTTTGAGGATGGGAAGCACCTCCATCGCTCTCATCTCCTCATTTCTCTTGAAGCCTGAACAGAAAGAAAGAAGCAAATCAGGACAAAAAGAACAAAATAGAAACACTAAAGTTCATATTCAATAATCCAGGTAGAAACACAACGATGTTCAGTCAGGTCATCTGGAAGGATTTTTTTTCCCGAGACGTTTCGTCCTTCATCCAAAGGACTTTGGTGTTTTGAAGCACTTTGGCATGGCTGCCTCAGAGGAGTTGACGGGGGAGAGGGGGCCCAGAGGCCATCTAATCACCAGCAAACACTTTTCCCCCATTATGGGAATGTGGTATTTGTGGGACTCAGTTTGTTTGGTGGCTCCTCAGATTGAAGAGTCCATCGGATGAAGGACGAAACATCTCAGCAAAAAAAAAAAAAAAAGAAACCATCCAGATGACCTGACTGAACATTGTTGAACAAAATAGAAAGCTTTCTTCCTTCCTGTCTTTCCCTAGTCGAAAAACCAAAGCTCATTTTATTTCCTGAAGGGCAGATTGTTTGGGACAGAGGCAGCAGATGTTTAATAGTAATCTGGACATGTGCAGCAGAAAGAGAAACAGCTGCGATGAGAGAAAACGACCCAGATATGAGAAAAGTTGAGGAACACGGAACTTTTCTAACTCTTATAAAAGATTAAAACAGTGTATAGAACTGGCACAAAAAAAATCAAAGTGACAATTATTCTGCAAGTATAATAGAAACATTATTAGCATGGCAAATATGCAGTTTGTGTTTGCAGTTTATTGCGATCTTTAGTGTTAGAGAAACTGTAGACATTATGATGAAAATGTGCAATTGTACTAAAATACTTTTGCTACAATTAGCACCTTCAGCCTGGATCATTCACCCCGCTACTACAAGAGGAGAACAACCAAAAAACAGCCAAGGGAGTGGTGGCGCAGAGGTTAGAGAAGGTGGGCCCGTGATCGGAAGGTTGCTGGTTCAACTCCCCGGACCGACAACTTCAAAATGTGGGTGGGAAAGGTGCAACGGCCACACCTGCCTCCACCCTCATTTGCCCCACTCTGGGCCCTTGAGCAAGGCCCTTAAGCACTGCCCCGGGTGCCCTAGATGGCAGCTCTCTGCTCCACACAGAGGGTTGTGGTAGCTCGGTGGTTGTGTCAGGAAGGACATCCGGCATAAAAAAACAAAAAAACAATTGCCAGTCTTTGTACGAGTTAGTTCACTGTGGCAACCCCTCAAGAACAAGAAGAAAAAGAACAAGAAGTACAAGAATAAGAACAAGACGAACAAGAAGATTAAAGGGATAGTCTGGTCACTTTTGAAGTGATGTTCTGGTAAATGGTTTTCAGTTAGCACCTTATCAGACATGGCATCAGTCTTAGAGCCTGGAGTGCTAGGCTAGTCACAAATTGATGTTTTTAGTTCATTGTTTTTCAGACTTATAAAACAACACTTTCTCTAAAAACACCACACTGGAGTGAAAGGACACTACATTAGATAATATTAAATATATACACTTTTCCATGACACCATCTGCTTAGTTTGTTGCCATTTTTGCTAACCAGTAGGGATGTAACAATACATTGATTTATAGATTCAATGATTAATGATTCAATTATATCGTGGCAAAACTAAAACATTGATTCATATCGTCATCTTTAAAATACGCTTTTACTTTGAAATTGCCAAGGCACGTCTGTGTCACCATTTCCGTGCACGGCTGCGCTCTGCGGCCGCCTCAGCAACATGGCAGACGAGGCAGAAAACACAGATAATGAACTTCACTCTCCTGCTGGATTTAAATCAACTCTGTGGAAACATTTTGGATTCTGACAGAAGTGAGTTCAAATACTCAGGAAACAACAAATCTGTTCGTTCACCTGAAGAAGAGACACGGCATTGATAGCCATGTTGTGCAAGCTTAATATCTGATTTTGTTTCTTTATAACTGAAAGGTAATCGGGACACATTTAAGTTAACTGGTTTAAAAAATGCACCTAAACATGAGAAATGTGACACTATACTTAACAGATCATTTATTTTATTTTTTCATTCATTAAGATTTTTATTTTTATTATTTTATGCCTGGTGCCTGTAATAACAGAAATAAAATGGTTAAATCATATTTGAATTGTTTTTGTAAATGTATTTATATGTAAATGAGATGGGCATTTGATATCGCAATATATTGATCGCAGACTTGTGACTCGAATAGAATCGAAGTCATATCGTGACAGACTTTGTGATATCGAGAAAAATCATATTGTCATACAAACAATCAATATAATATCGTATCGTAGCAAAGCTGGTGATTTACACCCCTACTAACCAGTTGTGTTTGTTTCTACCGCACGTGTTGAAGACGTAGAAAGACCTTGTATATATTCATAGTGTTAAGGCTACAAACGCATGTCTGCCTGATCAGAACATCTAATCAGACCAAAACGTTATTAAACTCCCAACACACTGACCAGCTCAGCAGCCTCAGCACCATCAGCACACACATCGTAGTGACACGGATGTAGACAGGTTGGAAAACAGAGAAACTAAAGAACGTCATGTAAACTGTTTATAAGATGAATATTAGCATTGGTATGTAGTTTTGTTTAAGTTGTTTTATAAAAAGAAAACCTATTTTTTATGTGGAGTTGTTGGCTAGCCATTAGCCGACTTTTGCCTTGTCTCCATGCTCTATGGCTGATGTCATAGCGGATAAAGTACTAAGTAACAATAACTATCTGACAGAATATCACTGCTAAGGGCTGCAGTGGGCTCCTCATTACACATAATTTGTCAACGATGGTTGTGGTGGTTTGTCATTGTCCTGCAGAGAGCATGGTGGCAGTGTAACTATAATGTGGGGCCAAGAAGCACAAGTGTAACTTTGCTGTTGAGAATTTAAAACAAGACTTACCACACTGGGCTCATGTCTCAGCTATAAACATATCACTCCATTATTTTTCACAATTGACATGCTTAAGCCCCAATAAGTCATGGAAAGACAAGTGGGGTGGTCATCCAGTATGAAGAAGGACTTAGATATTTTTAACATCTCTGAACTGTCTTTTTTTTTTATGTATTTTGTCATAAAACAGCAGCAAACCAAAAAATGCTACAGAAGTCAGAACATAATCAATGATGTGAGTTTGTAAACTGCTTTTCAAAGAAATAAAATTGAAACAAATCAGAGGAAACGGAGACCATCTTCGTGTAAACACTGCTGTTGATCTAGAGTTGAGTCAAAGGACAGAACACACTGAAGTTAACACCAATTTAAAAATGGGATCCCTGGTATCTACAGCCACCTCTGAATGCAGCCTAAACAAGAAGTTCATTTTGAATGTGTGTAGGTCTGCGGTAACAACTGTCTGCACGTAGTATGATCAGACAGGGTGGAGGTCAACATAAGATCTGAACAGGCCTGCGCATGTTAATAAATGAGAAGTAAACAAACCAATGTTAGTATTTTATCTAGACTGATAGACGATGCTCTGTTTTTAGCAAATTGGGATCATAACTGTTTGCTTGAAAGTTCACACAACTGCATCAAATGTCAATAACATGTTGGTGACAGTAGAGCTGTCGCCGCTCAGCAAGAAGGTTGCTGGATCAAATACCAGAAAGCCGGGGACCTTTCTGCGTGGTGTTTGCATGTTCTCTCCGTGCATGCGTGGGTTTTCTCCGGGTACTCCAGTTTCCTCCCACAGAGCAAAAGCATGCATGTTAGACTGATGGGTTAGACTCTAAATTGTCCCTAGGTGTGAGTGAGAGTGTCCCACCTCTCACAGTAACTGCTGGACATGGGCACCAGAGACCCCCGCGACCCGAAAAGAAAGAAGCGGGTAAAGATGATGGATGGATGATGCCCCGGTGTTCCAGGTGTCATGGCGTTCATGGTGCATGAAATATTAAACCATTCAACCATCAACCCACTCTCATCCATACCAATTCCAAGCAAATAAAATGGTTCAAATGTTCACCCGCTGATCTAATGAAATCAAATGACAAATCTTGAACATTCGCTTTTTAAAAAAATTAAAAAAAAAACATTTCATTCCTGATTTTATTAAAACCTGAGTGGGACTTTTTCTTTAATTAAATGATGGTGTATGAATATGCCAACAAGATGTCGCCATAAACGCATAAATGTAATTCATTTACTTTCCATTCTAAGTCTGTGTTTGCTTTCTAAGACCATAATATTTCCTTATAAATAATAAAATCTCTCTCTTATTCACTGTTGAGCAACGAATTACTCAGTAGCTGCTGAACTCAACACTTTTCTCTCCAGTTCTGCAACTCATGTTTTGAGAAAACCCTCAGGCACACAGCTAAGAACCAATGTGTTTAACATTTAATGTAGCTGAAAAAAAAAAAGAAAATTAATACTAGGACATCTTCTGGCAAGGAATGGGATTGATTATAAACTGCCAACCTGTACATGCTGAGCTGGATCTGCAAGCTTTCATGGTGTGAAAGATCCCACAGTGTCAAAGGTTCAGTCATAAGAAACAAACAGCTGGCGGGGGATATTTAATAAGTAAAAACTTGTTTAAACAACTCCTGTACATGAACGCGAAAATTCCTGAGGTCAATGAACTCTCATCTGAGCTGAAACAGAAAACAGAACAAAACCAAAAACAGAGTGAGGTCAGATTTGGTCTTTCAGACAGAGCAGAGCTTTGGTTAATGAGACTGACGATGCTCTTAGAAAGTAATCACTGGCTGCACATCTACAACTGACTACTTAATGTCAACTCCATCCAAGATGGCCGCCACAGCTGAGCAGCTTTAGCAAATGCAAAAATGGCTCTGACTCTGTCAATTTCACACACACTGAGATTCAACTTGGTGTGGCAGTAGCTGAGAGTCACACCCACCTTACACGCTGAGCTCTAACTGATTATGTAAAATCTGTTTTTAAAATGTTGTCAATTAAGTCTGGAGACATCTATGTCTGTTAGCAAAAAATCTTGTTAACCACAAAGCAGGTTTCAATGAATTTGCCAGAAAGTCATAACGTTCATCTACAACTTTGGAGTCACCTTGATTTAAGA